TTTATAAAGCATTATAGATATTTGAAATAGAGTAGAGGGCAGGAACTCCAGAAATTCTTTAAAAAATTCCATGAAAATGGGTAGTCGTATTTTCCATATGATTCATTCAAGATGTTCTTGTCTCCAGTTTTAGAAACATTTAACCAGCAAGTAAAAATCAATCGGTTGGTGGATCAAACTCTATTTCCATTTGAACTGAGATTGTAAAAGGCATAGTTGATTTCCATCTGCGAGCTCTTCTCCATAATATATTGTTTTCTTTGTTATGTTGTCTTTTATTTTAATATCCCTGAGTACCTAATTTGCTATTTAAAACTCCCTCCATTTGAGCCAATTCTTCAACATTTCAAAATTTTTTAAACCTTAATTGCGTTCAAATGAATACTTAAGCATCATGATAGTCCCGATTTGCTATTCCAATTATCTAAAATATATTCCAAGTATAATTATCACCTGAACGTCCAAACCATCCAACTCAAAGTTATTTCTCATATTATGGGCCTATGCCAACTGTCGTCGTGTAACTACCAAAGCGAATTTTAAGACATTATGTAATTCACGTTCAAACTTATGAGCTTTATGAGTGAATTCAAGATTATTTATATTTAATCTTTCTCGACATTTATAAAGCATTAGAGATATTTGAAATAGAGTAGAGGGCAGGATCTCCAGAAATTCTTTAAAAAATTCCATGAAAATGGGTAGTCGTATTTTCCATATGATTCATTCAAGATCTTTCTTGTGTCCAGTTTTAGAAACATTTCACCAGCAAGTAAAAATCAATCGGTTGGTGGATCAAACTCTATTTCCATTTGAACTGAGATTGTAAAAGGCATAGTTGATTTCCATCTGCCAGCTCTTCTCCGTAATATATTGTTTTCTTTGTTGTGTTGTCTTTTCTTTCAATATCCCTGAGTACCTAATTTGCTATTTAAAACTCCTTCCATTTGAGCCAATTCTTCAACATTTCAAAATTTTTTAAACCTCAATTGCGTTCAAATGAATACTTAAGCATCATGATAGTCCCGATTTGCTATTCCAATTATCTAAAATATATTCCAAGTATAATTATCACCTGAACGTCCAAACCATCCAACTCAAAGTTATTTCTCACATTATGGGCCTATGGCAACTGTCGTCATGTAACTACCAAAGCGAATTTTAAGACATTATGTAATTCACGTTCAAACTTAAGAGCTTTATGAGTTAAATCAAGATTATTTATATTTAATCTTTCTCGACATTTATAAAGCCTTAGAGATATTTGAAATAGAGTAGAGGTAAGGATCTCCAGAAATTCTTTAAAAAATTCCATGAAAATGGGTAGTCCTATTTTCCATATGATTCATTCAAGATCTTCTTGTGTCCAGTTTTAGAAACATTTCACCAGCAAGTAAAAATCAATCGGTTGGTGGATCAAACTCCATTTCCATTTGAACTGAGATTGTAAAAGGCATAGTTGATTTCCATCTGCGAGCTCTTCTCCATAATATATTGTTTTCTTTGTTCTATTGTCTTTTCTTTCAATATCCCTGAGTACCTAATTTGCAATTGAATACTCCCTCCATTTGAGCCAATTCTTCAACATTTCAAAATTATTTTAATCTTAACTGCGTTCAAAGGAATACTTAAGCATCATGATAGTCCCGATTTGTTATTCCAATTATCTGAAATAAATTCCAAGTAAAATTATCGCCTGAACGTCAAAACCATCCAAAACAAAGTCTTTTATCACATTATGAGCCTATGCCAACTGTCGTCGTATAACTACCAAAGCGAATTTCAAGACATTATGTAATTCACGTTCAAACTTATGAGCTTTATGAGTGATTTCAAAATTATTTATATTTAATCTTTCTCGACATTTATAAAGCATTATAGATATTTGAAATAGAGTAGAGGGCAGGAACTCCAGAAATTCTTTATAAAATTCCATGAAAATGGGTAGTCGTGTTTTCCATATGATTCATTCAAGATGTTCTTGTCTCCAGTTTTAGAAACATTTCACCAGCAAGTAAAAATCAATGGGTTGGTGGATCAAACTCTATTTCCATTTGAACTGAGATTGTAAAAGGCATAGTTGATGTCCATCTGCAAGCTCTTCTCCGTAATATATTGTTTTCTTTGTTCTATTGTCTTTTCTTTCAATATCCCTGAGTACCTAATTTGCTATTTAAAACTCCATTTCTTTTGAGCCAATTCTTCAACATTTCAAAATTATTTTAATCTTAATTGCGTTCAAATGAATACTTAAGCATCATGATAGTCCCGATTTGCTATTCCAATTATCTAAAATATATTCCAAGTATAATTATCACCTGAACGTCCAAACCATCCAACTCAAAGTTATTTCTCACATTATGGGCCTATGCCAACTGTCGTCATGTAACTACCAAAGCGAATTTTAAGACATTATGTAATTCACGTTCAAACTGATGAGCTTTATGAGTGAATTCAAGATTATTTATATTTAATCTTTCTCGACATTTATAAAGCATTAGAGATATTTGAAATAGAGTAGAGGTAAGGATCTCCAGAAATTCTTTAAAAAATTCCATGAAAATGGGTAGTCGTATTTTCCACATGATTCATTCAAGATCTTCTTGTGTCCAGTTTTAGAAACATTTCACCAGAAAGTAAAAGTCAATCGGTTGGTGGATCAAACTCCATTTCCATTTGAACTGAGATTGTAAAAGGAATAGTTGATTTCCATCTGCGAGCTCTTCTCCATAATATATTGTTTTCTTTGTTGTGTTGTCTTTTCTTTCAATGTCCCTGAGTACCTATTTGCAATTAAAACTCCCTCCATTTGAGCCAATTCTTCAACATTTCAAAATTATTTTAATCTTAATTGCGTTCAAATGAATACTTAAGCATCATGATAGTCCCGATTTGTTATTCCAATTATCTGAAATAAATTCCAAGTATAATTATCACCTGAACGTCCAAACCATCCAACTCAAAGTTATTTCTCACATTATGGGCCTATGCCAACTGTCGTCGTGTAACTACCAAAGCGAATTTTAAGACATTATGTAATTCACGTTCAAACTTATGAGCTTTATGAGTGAATTCAAGATTATTTATATTTAATCTTTCTCGACATTTATAAAGCATTATAGATATTTGAAATAGAGTAGAGGGCAGGATCTCCAGAAATTCTTTAAAAAATTCCATGAAAATGGGTAGTCGTTTTTCCATATGATTCATTCAAGATCTTCTTGTGTCCAGTTTTAGAAACATTTCACCAGCAAGTAAAAATCAATCGGTTGGTGGATCAAACTCTATTTCCATTTGAACTGAGATTGTAAAAGGCATAGTTGATTTCCATCTGCGAGCTCTTCTCCATAATATATTGTTTTCTTTGTTGTGTTGTCTTTTCTTTCAATGTCCCTGAGTACCTATTTGCAATTAAAACTCCCTCCATTTGAGCCAATTCTTCAACATTTCAAAATTATTTTAATCTTAATTGCGTTCAAATGAATACTTAAGCATCATGATAGTCCCGATTTGTTATTCCAATTATCTGAAATAAATTCCAAGTAAAATTATCGCCTGAACGTCAAAACCATCCAAAACAAAGTCTTTTATCACATTATGAGCCTATGCCAACTGTCGTCGTATAACTACCAAAGCGAATTTCAAGACATTATGTAATTCACGTTCAAACTTATGAGCTTTATGAGTGAATTCAAAATTATTTATATTTAATTTTCTCGACATTTATAAAGCATTAGAGATATTTGAAATAGAGTAGAGGGCAGGATCTCCAGAAATTCTTTAAAAAATTCCAT